GCCTCGGCTCACCCCCGCGACGGAGGGGCCCTCGCGGTCATTAGCAGGAAGTTTGCGAGTCGGAGCCGAGAAGCGAGTCTAATTATACCCGTCAGGAGGCTCATTCTCTCCCGGTGACTTACGACCTCCGGCCCCCAGCCCGCCCGATGGCAACAGCGGGTTACCTGTTGGGAATGAGACGGATTGACCTGAGCAGATCGATTTCATTACCGGCTCTGTCATATCTGCAGTTAGTGATGGCCAGCGGGCCGGGCCGACGACGGGCCCTGAAAAACGGCAGGAAGCGTCACGCGGCCCCGCTGGGTCTGCTTGGGCGGGGGGCCCGGCGGGAGGGGCGCTGAGGCGGGACCCAGGGCGCAGGTGCTCACGGAGCGTGGGAGAGCCGCGGCTCTGGCCGGGAGTCCGTGTCCTCCCACACGCCCTGCCCTCAGCCCGTGGGCGGCTCCCGGGAGGTGACGCTGGCCCAGGTGGACTCAGGTGTGGTCTGTCGCTCACGAAACCCAGGCCCCACGCCCGCCGGGCCTCCCTGCAGCCAGTGAGGCAGAAGGACCACAGGGGCCGGCAGGGGTCCCACCAGCGTCCGCTCAGAGGAGTCCGCTGGGCCCCTGGCCGGACATGGCCCGGCCCCCTCAGCCCAGTGCCAGGGTCTCCCCAGGAGCCGCCTGCTGGGGGCCATCGCGGACGCCACACGCAAGGCAGCCATTCGGGGACAGCGCGGAGCACCGGGACTCCGCTCCTGAGCCTGCGGCCCCAGGGTTACCCCTGCCTCCCCTCCGCGGGCTCCGCCCGAGTCAGGTCCTCCCCCGGACGGGAGCTGCTCCCTCTCCTCTTGCTCCTCAGAGGGGAGGCTGGCTCGGGTGAGGGGGTTGCCCTGCGGTCTTTGTGCACCAGGTCTGAGTCGGCGACTCTGAGCCCAGGGCCCTGGACGCACCCCAGGGGCTGAGTGCTCACCCCCGGGGCCGGCTGGGCACCCAGGGCGGGAGTGTGAGAGCTGCCAGCCATGCAGACCAGCAAAGGTGTCTGGCACAGTCCCAGGCGTGTCCCCTCTCTCCACTTGGCAACAGCCCCTGGGGGCTAGGACAGGGCACTGAGCAGCTCCCACAGAAGGGGTGCTCTGGTGAACCTCCGTTTCAGTGGGAAGGTCCGGGTCAGCTAGTCAGGGTGAGGAGGGCCAGGCAGGCGAAGAGGGGACACCTGTGTGCACGGGGAGGGTGGGCTGTGTCCCCAGATGTCACGAGGTCCTGGACCCCTGCTGAGGAGCCGAGCAGCCACCCAGCCCTGCTCCTGTTCCCGCTGCACAACACCACCACCCGGGGTGCACGAGCTCGTCCCCCCCCACGGTCTGTGCTCACCTCCCCTGGTCTCTCTGTTCTAGTGACTGTGGCCCCTCCTGCCCCCAATATTCCCTCCCCCTGGGCCGGGTTGACCCGGGACCCCGAAGGTAGGGGCAGTGGCCTGGGAACCTTTCTCAGGCCTCACAGTGAGTCCCCACGGCCACACGGGGCCTGGTCACCTGTCCTGCCTGGTCACCACGGTGGCCACTGTCAGCTCCGATCGGCAGGAGAGGCCGACCTGAGGTCCAGCCTGGGGGGCCTGAGGAGGACCCCCCTCTTCTCACTGAGCCGAGCACCCCGGAACCTTTGGGGAGTCCCCGGCCTTTACTTTCCCCAGGGGCTTCCGGAGAAGCACACTTTCCATGGGCGCCAGCTTCGCAGGCTGACGTCCGCTCAGGACAGGACACAAAGTGGTCGCCTCCCAGACGCCAAGGAGACAGGTCACTGTGCACATGGGACACCCAGCAGGAGAGGCCGAGGGGCGAGGGGCGAGGGGCGAGGGGCGGCGCCTGGGGGTTGGCACCGTCCGCTGGGACAGCCCGAGGTTCCCGCCGTGGCCCTGGCTCCTGGAGGTCAGCAACCGTGGACGGCTCCTCCCCGGGCCCCCGACGTGGAAGGTGCTCAGACACATGTACGCGCACGCATGCACACACGCACGAACACGCCACACACACACGTCCTGCCCCAGAGGATGAGCCGTCCGCCACCGGGACCGGCCGATCCAGGAACCTCGCACCGGCAGGGCCGACCGACCACGGCGGTGGGGACCCGCGCTTGCACCTGCGGCTCACCTGCCGGCAGGTAGACTCGCAGGCGCCTGTGGGCTGCAGCGAGACCAGGGCCACACCTCGCAGGACGGGTGGTGGTGGCGGCCCCGGGCCGGCTCCCGGAGCTCAGCAGGGGCACGGGGGGCCCAGCATGCGGAATTGCCCTGTGCCCGGGACCTCCCACGCTGCGTCTCCCTGATCCCCAGGGAACCCGAGAGCTCGGCACAGTGCTCTTCCTCCCCAATGGGGAAGCTGAGGCTCAGAGAGGCCGTGCCTCTCACCCGTGCTGCACAGCTAAGCCAGGAGACTTCGATCCCCACGCTCCCAGGCTGCCGTGCCCAGAGGGAGCCGTCCTGGGCTGCAGGCAGAGGGCTGGCGGAAGCCTCTCTCTCCTGGGACAGCGACCATGCATCCCGGCCTCAGCTCACTGCAGGGCCAGGACGGGGCCCCATGCAGACCAGGGGTGACCGTCCCCACATTCCTCCATGCCAGGGGGCATTCCTGCCCACACAGGTCTCCTGCCCCGGCCTGGAGGAGGGCAGCAGACAGCACGGCCTGTGAGTGGGAGACGGGAAGAGGGTGCCGTCCCCCCAATCACCGGCTGAGGGGCCCCCGCCAGCCTGTCCCTAGCAGCACCGGCGTGGGGCTCAGAGCACCACGTTCACGCAGGTCAGCCGGAGGGGGCTGAGTTACTGTCATGACCCCCCGGCAGATGCTGGTGGGCAGGTGCCCGTGTTTATGAGCCCTGAGCTCATGAAGCTCCTCATCCCTTCTTGAGCCGTGTGACGTGTGACATGTGATGCGTGTCCCTCCCATGTGCCCGGGCCCTGCAGACGCAGGAGTCGGGCTGACGTGCTCTTCTCCTGCACAGAGACCCCTCCCGAGGCGTCGGAGTTTGTGTTCTGACTGCCAAGGCCCAGGCTGCTGGCCACGGGGCGCCCCAGCACCAGCCTCTCCCAGCAGGGGTGCAGGGCCCGCCGGGAGGAAGGGGTGCACCGGTCCCGGGCAGCTGCCAGGCCTGCACTGTCCCCTCCCTTCCCAACAAGCCCGCTCGGTGCCGGAGGCCTGGGCTCTCCTCTGCCCACCGCACCAGCTCCAAAGGCCGAGAGTCACCGTGAACCGAACCCAGACTCCTCATGGCCCGTGGCCGCCCGCCTGGCCAGGCTCTCAGCGTCAGTATTTTATAAACGATGAAAACCGGCAGGTGCCCCTGATCCGAGCGTGTCCTCCGGGGATGGACTGGATGTAAAGACCACTCTTTTTTTTTTTTTTTTCTTTTTTAGATAGAGCAGGATGGAGAGAGGGAGGAAGAGAGAGAGAGAAACATTTATGTGAGAGGGACACATCTACTGGCTGCCACCCACACGACCCCAACCAGGGCCGGGACGAACTGCAACGGAGGTACGTGTCCTTGGCGGGAACTGAACCCGGGACTCTCTGGTCCGCGGGCCGACGCTCTAACTGCTGAGCCAAACCGGCCAGGGCCAAAGACCACTCGTCAAAGACATGAGGGCATTGCCACAGGGAGGGGGCGCCCAGGGGTGGGTCTCCTTTGGGGGCCCCTGAACTGGGTTCTGCCCCTGTGTCTGGGCACTGTGGGCCCCCCGCAGGCCCTGGGGAGGTGCGCGTGGTCTCCTCAGCGTTCCCTCCGCTCGACCAGGGAGGGCTGCGCCCCAGGTGGGTGAGGCAGGAGGAGGTGCCTGCTTTGTCTCGGGGGTGCACACAGGCCAGAGGAAGGGGCGGGCCTGCGCCTGGGGGGCTGCACACTCACCCGGGGGGAGGGAGGCCCTGAGCACTCGCGGGCCGGGCGCTGACACTCACCTGGGCTGTGCTGCAGGAGCATCCTCGGGGCTCCGGGAAAACCTGGGGCGCGGACCCACCTCCTCACGCTGCCAGCGCCCCGAAGCTCGTCCCGCCAGCCACAGCCCGTCCCGGACACCATGGCCAGCGCACAGAGGCTTATCAAAGGGTTTTCTCTTTATTTTCATAATTTAGCTGAATCAACACAAAACTGAATACTGTAAAACAAGGGGAAAAAATGCTGTGACATCTTCAATCTCCCAGTTTCTGCCTTCCGACGGGGTGTCTACACTCGCTGTCCAAAGACACAGGCGAGGGGGGCGCTGGCGGCCAGGGCCGAGGTTGCTGGGCGGGGACCCTCCGAGGGTCCCGCCCGGCTCCCAGAGCCCGTCCCTGCGGCCCGGGGCAGGCTCTCCACATCTTTGACGAGAACCCCAAATCTCAGCTGGTGCCTTGACTCCAAGACACCCCCGCCTCAGTCTGAAGGCTGAAAGGTAAATTAAATACTCGTGGATGCTGGGACGGGTCTTAAATAAGTGGATTTTCGGTCCTATCTTTAGTCTACAGGTGGCAGGAACAGTTGCTATATAGTTGTGTTTTTTTGTGTGTTTTTTTACTTTTTTTTAGTAGCATATAACTAGCGTAATACTCCTGTTAATTGGACTCTTAGGTAGTATACTTCACCAGAAAGTGAGGGGCCTGGCATGGGATGCCAGGGGACCGCAAACGTCACTGTCCCTTCTGGTGGGGCCTGGCGACGCTGCTGCCCAGGGCGGGCCGAGGGGGATGGGACGCCCGTCATTCACGGCACCCAGGCCCAGCGCCATGGTCCCCCGGCGGCCCTGGAGACTGAGAATGAGGGCGTCGGGCAGGGCTGCCCTCAGGTCTCCGAGTGCCAGGTCAGAACAGGGGTCACGAGTCACCGGAGGTCCACGCCCTGGACTCGGTGGGCCCCCAGGCAGAGGCCCACGGCAGGGACACTGACCGCAGACCACGTGCAAAGACGGGGCCTCCCCAGCAGCACGGCCTACGCGTCCGTGCCATCAGGCCCTGGGCCTCGGCTCACTGGAGTCCTGAGGTCTGGGGGCCGGCCCCCCACTGCGCCCGCCCGGAGCCTTCAGCTCGCTGCTCGGGACGGCCGGGGCCACCACATTAATTGTTAAATAGGCTTTTCTACAAATATACAACATATAAAAACTGTTAAATATATAACTTTAGGCTTTGCAAAATACATTTAATGATCTCTTTCAAACAAGGGTTACTTCATTTTCCTTTAATTTGCGTTCTGGAGCTAAATGGTGTATCGGATGAGACAGCAGTCACGGGAGACCCAACATGCTCTTGGCGGATACTGGATTGTCCCACTATCGGAATGGAGCGAAGAGGCGCGTCTAACTGGTTAAAACAGTGAGTTTAGTACGGTCCGGTCCGTCCCGGCACGGAGCAGTGCCCGGCGGGCTGCGTCCCGGGGAGGGGCGTGCCGGCCTGTGTGGGGACATCGTCCCCGTGTCCCGCAGGGCTGCCGGCTCCTCCGGTGGCTGGGCCCTGCTCAGGGTGCACCGCAGTGTTCGTGGGGTGGGGGCCTCTGCCAGGGCCACCCTCTCCGCCCTGCCGGGGCCACCAGCATGCTCCGCTCCTGGGCCCCCAGCCGAACCGGGTTGTGGGGGCGAGTCTGCGTTAAAATAGATTTGCTCTTTGGTCTATTGAGTATACGGAAAAGGATAAGAAAATAAAAGCGATTCGGACAGTCTGGGCGTGAGGAGGGCCACAGCCTCCCCCGACGGCCGAGGTCCCGCCTCCGGGCTGCTGGGCTGCGGTCTGGTCCCTCTGGCCCCTGCTCCTGGTCCTCGTCCTGCTCTTCAGGGAGCGCAGCCCACGTGTGGCCGGGGAGGCCGGGCGAGGCCAGGCTGTGTCCCTGGCAGGACTCCTTGTGCAGCCGGACAGGCTCAGCGCAGAAGGCCCGGGTCGCAGGCCGGTGGCAGATAACGGGGCGTCTGCGGCAGGACTCGGGCCCAGGTGCGGACTCTCCGGGGAGCCGAGGACCGCCCGGGCCCCTCTGAGGCTGTGTTCGTCAGGAGACCTGAGGGGCAAAGAGAAGAGAGCAGTCAGCTCCCCAGACACCGAGGGTCCCTGTCAGGAAGAGTGTGAACCCAGGAAACACCCCCAAGGCCTGCCCGGCAGGGCCAGCACCCTCAGCCGATGCCAGCTGACCTCCAGGACATCCAACCAGACAGAGAGACCTGCACGCTGGAGGGGACGCCTGCCTGGGACCCCCTTGTGTGTGGTGACGAAGGGCTGGGGTCTGGGTCCCTCTGCAGCTCTCTGATGGTGCCTCCCGCCATGCCAGGCACATGGCACAGGTGCACAGAGTGGTGGGTGGGTGTCTGCAGACCATGGAGCCCCTGATGGCTGCAGAGCTGGGGTTGTCATGACCCTGGTGACCCCCAGCACCCCAGAGTCCAGGACATGCAACGAGACAGCCAGCGGAGGCTGCGGGTGTTAAATGACGAGCCCATGTCACGGCTCTGGGGCAACGGAAATTCCACCTTTAAAATGACAGACAGCAAGCCACAGACCTCCAGAGCCTCAGCCCGGGGACCCCGTGCCCAGCACCCTCCTCACTGGGGCCACGTGACACAGGCCACTGAGGCCCCACACGACCCTGACCCAGCCCCCGACGGAACTCCAGGCTCAGGTCCTGAAGATGAGGGCCTGGTACAGTCAGAGACCCCCACGCCCCGTGAACTGGCCGAGCACGGGGGGTCAGCACCACCGCCTTGGAGGCTCCTCCTGGACTCCGAGTCCATGTCTCCTGCCATGGCCTGGACAGCAGAGGAGGGTGCGCCAGGGGACGATGGCCAAGGTCGCCGGCCACCCTGAGCAGCACCCCTGCCCTGGAGACGCGGCCGGGGGTGGGGGCGATCCTGGGGCCCACAGAGAGCTGCTGACCCTCCGAGGCGATTCCTGGAGGTGTGTGGGCACAGGCAGGGGTGCCTGCAGCTTTAGCAACCGGCGGCCACACCACACACATCTGTGTTCAGGAGGAACGCCTCGTTTTAATGGTCAGGATTCTCTGTCCCCAGACTGCTCCCGTCTTCACTCCTGAGCAGCTGGGTCTCCACACCTTCTAGAAAGGTCCAGGAGGCAGGTCTTAAAACAGTGACATCCCTGAGTCCCATGTGCTGGTCTCCCCCGTCCCTGATGCCTTGGGTCCCACCCTGCACCCCACCACCGCACCCTCCCCAGGTCAGGGGCGCCCTGGCTCCCAATGTCTCTGGCCAGACCCCTCCCCCAGCTCCGCCCCAGCACTCACGGCCCCTCCTACCCCACGCCCTCCTCTGAGTCTGGCTGAGGTGGCCCCCAGGGCTCAGACACTGCACTTTGCTCCTCGATGCCTGTGGCAAGTCCCTGCACCAGGCCCTGCGGGGGCCGAGGCCACGGGCCAGCCCCACGGGAGTCTGCGGGTCCACACGCAGGGAGGCCCTGCTTCCAGTCCACAGGCCGCCGCACAGCCGACTCCAGGGCCACCCATCCCCGCAGGCCTGCTCGCCCTTCAGATGACCTCGGGCAGCACCTGTCCCCAGCCCCCTGCCTGGACCGGAAAGGGGAGTCAGGGGTCCTCACTGCAAGGACAAGGGGAACACCCCTCTCTGGGGGCCGGCAGGTGCGGGGTAACAGGCCAGCACTTCGGGGCCTCAGGAACTCCTGCCCGGGACCGATGACCAGAGCCCAGCAGGAAGTGACCAGCTGCTTCCCGGAGAGCTGGAGCCCAGGCTTAGGCGGCCCACCATGCGCCTCCCCATCCCTGCCTCGCGGGCCCAGGTGAGGACAGACGGGTGTGGGCAGTGAGGTGCCCCCCACAACTCGGGCTTATCCCAGCAGCAATCACGGGAAGCCGCCCGGCGGAGGGAGGCCACGGGCGGGGTCAGGGGCTGGACAACAGCTTTGACTCAGCCCCCCCCCATCCCTCCAAGGTCAGAGAGGAGCCTGGAGGGGGGCGCCGGTCTCCAGGGGGAGCTGCGGGTGGGGGAGGGTAAGCAGTGTGGGGTGGGCGCCCCCCCTTGAGATCAGGGGGCGGACAGGCGCTGCTGGGTTATCACCCTGTGTGCGCAGGGAGGTCCCAGCCTGGGCACCCTTGGAGCTGCAGCCTCCACGCAGCCAGGAGAAGCCAGGTGAGCCAGGCCGGGCCCTACCAGGCCCTCAGCAGCGACCTGGGCGAGGGCCCGTCACCGAGTAGCTGTCCGGCTCAGGTCAGTGGGGCGTGGGTCTCCTCCGCTGTTCCTCTGGTCGACGCAGCCTGTCTGTCTTCTGTTAAGAAATGCCCACGCCTGTCCCCACTTCTGGGCTGAGGCTGGGGAGCTGGGCCCGGCGATGAACTGTTGATGAACTGTCTCCGTGCTGACAAGGAAGAGGCCACGGGGCGGTCAGCAACCCAGACGAGGAGCTGTCAGCCCAGCTGGGCGCTCATCAGACTCACAACAACACACCAGGTGGTCCGAGGGCAGGTGGGCAGGCTCTTGGCTGACTCAGCGCCCTGGCCCTGGCGTAGGGCTGCCCCGGCTCACGGTCAGTCGGCGTGGAAGGGACACTCCCATGGCAAACAGGCCTGAGACCAAGCGGAGACTCAGCACAGAGGAGGAGGAGACAGAGAGGAAATGAAAGCAGCCCACTCAGGAGCCAGGAGGGGCGGAGCGGCCACAAGCCCCTCCCCAGAGCTGTGGCTGCATCTCTTCATCAGCCACTGTGAACCTGGGCTGGGAGCTCCAAGGTCAGACATCACCTCTGGGTGCTACTGGCTGCTACAGACTCTAACCTGTCTCAGCAATGACCACGCCTGCCACTCACCCGGCCACAGGAGAGCCCCCAGATGCCAGTGTCCTGGGGGCTGGTGAATGGGGGTCGGCACAAGGCAGAGCTGGGGAGCAGGCAGGGTGGGCAGGGCCAGGGCCAGTCAGGAAGGTGTGTTCTGGTCCCCTTTGCTGCTACAGAGAGAACCAGACTGGAGCCTCATTGTTTGATGCAAGCTGACAGCTGTACATATATACAGTGTATATATACACAATGTACATATATACAATGTATCGTTTAGCTAAATAATCTTGGTCTCTAGAAAAAATGTTTCTTGAATCTAATGGAAATATCACTTTTCTGTCTTTACCATGGTTTACTTCCTTTCTTTGGCTCGGAGCTGTCCTCGGAGCTGGCCTTCCAAGAGAAGTTTCGGGGCGCTCTGGATCAGGCTGGGTCCTGGGTGGTAGGGTTCTCAGTGTGGGGGGCGCTGGGTGACAGTTTGCCCACCTGCTGAGCTGACTTTGTACCCTGTGGTTTCCTCTTCAGGGAGGGAACCAAGTATCCCTGGCGCCTCTGGCTCTGGGTTGTCAGCGGCAGGATCCCTTCCAGCCCCAATACCATGGGAGGCTTGGCTTCGAAGCCCTGGTCACAGGAGGCGGCAGAGACAAAGAATTCATGCCATTCAGGCTAAGGCATCCCTGAGCCGTGACTTGGGAGCAGGGACCGGTCAGGGACTGCCAGGCTGCCGTGATGGGAGCTCACTCTAGGCTGGAGGGGCGGTGGTCAGCAAGTGGCCACACATGTGCCCGCACCTGAAACTCCCTCTTCCCCAGAGCGTCCAGGTGACCCCCAGCCCCGCCCGCACCTGGGTTTCTGAGACCTGAGCAGAGAGCCCGCCACACCTGGCTGGACCTGGGACCGTGGAGCTGGGGGACAGCAAATCTTCTAAGTGCTGAGTTTGTAGTAATTCATTACGCAGAGCAGAAAACTGATACATCCACGTGACCCAACTCAGGTGAGTTCATACACTTTAAATAAAACAATGTGTTTGAGGCCCCTGCGTGGGCTGCGTCTCGCTCAATGGACGATGGGGGGTCTCCCGAGACCATGTGCGGCTCACTCACGTCTCACGGGGCCCAGGCAGAGTCCGGGGCAGCCTCCTTGTCCTGAGGGACTGAGCCGGAGGCTGTGGCCCTGATGTACGCGCCGGGGGTGGCACCCTGGGTGGGCACTGTGCAGGCTCAGTGAAGGGTGGCAGGCTCTCTGTTCGCCCCGCCCTGCACTGAAAGGAATAAAGGGCCCTCGCTCGAGTGTGGGTGCACCCGGGAAGGGCCACCCGGCAGGACCCGGGGAGCCTGCAGGGCTGGGAAGGTCTGTCTGGACCCGGGAAGGCGGGACGGCGTGCAGAGGTCAGTCTGCGGGCTGCGCTTTTCTGTTCAGTCGCACGGCGCTTCGGAACACGGACAGTCAGGGAAGTTCCTGCTTCCCTTCAACTGTGATGAGCGCCCCCCCCTGCTGGGCCTGGGGACCCCAGAATAACCCCGTGCTCAAGGTGTGTCTATGTGCACTCTGAGTGTTTCTGGATTCCGAGCCCCTAGGGGGTCTCCTGCATGACAGCCACCTGCCCCTTCACTGAGGGTCCCTCAGACACCACCTGAGCTTGAGAGGGAAGCCCCTCCCTTGGCCCCAAGCAAGCAGGTGGGGACCCTCCGCCTCCAGCCGGGCTCCCCGACTCCCAGGCCCCCACAGGGGCCCCGGGCTCTGCCTACGCCGCAGGCGGTCCAGCACGGGGACCCTGGGCTCAGTCTCCCAGGATCCTGGGTTGGGAAACAGCGTCCAGCCCAGGGGCTATCTGTCCCCTGGGTGCAGCCCTGAGGCTGCTTGGGGTCCATGCTCAGTGCAGCCCAGCCTGGTCCTGACCCCGGGAAGACGGGAAGCCGTCCTCAGGGCCCACCTGCGGCCACGAGCAGTCACCGCCAGGCGGCCCCAGCGGCCAGGTCCCCTCCAGCTCTGCAGCGGGGCTGGCCGGCCACCTCCCCAAAGCCCCATTTGTTTGTGGAACCGTCCGCTCACCAGGCAGCGTTTCAAAGGGAGTGTTGACAAGTGCCGGACGGCTCTGCAGCCGCGGGAACACGTCCTCTTTGTCCCCTGGCTGGGCTCCCACGGCAGTGCCTTTGGAGTCTCGCTCTGACCTGCGCTCATCGCTGCAGCTCCCTCCCCCCCGTCAAGGGCCGCGGTGCACGCCTGTCCCCAGTTCCCAGGTGACGCCATCAAAGGGACCCGAGGATG